TTTTTTTTTTTTTTTTTTTTTTTTTTTTTTTTTTTTTTTTTTTGTAGGGATGACTTGAAAATCGTGCTAGATTTGACTCGGTCGTGCGAGATTTGACCCGGTTTTTCAAAATAAGGTTTTCTAATGGAGCTGTCAATGAACTCAATGGAGCTGCCAAAAAGGTAGGGATCCCACCACTCTACTTCAAATATGAAAATTTGTATTTTGCTTCTTCAATGTTCGTAGAAGCTAAGAAGTTCACTATAGAATAAACTAGACAAACATTCGTTGTTATTTAAAAGCGTCGTCGTTGAGCATATGGAAGCCTCACCGTAAACCCTTGTTCCCCTAATGGATATCTTCGATACTTTAGATTTGACTCACTCACTAACTTACGAACGTATTTTGCGAATAAGTAGTCCTTAATGTTGTGTTCCTTGTTAAGACCTTCAAGGATGATGAGTCGAGTCTTGTTTAGATTTGACTCACTCACTAACTTACGAACGTATTTTGCGAATAAGTAGTCCTTAATGTTGTGTTCCTTGTTAAGACCTTCAAGGATGATGAGTCGAGTCTTGTTTCTCAATCCACCTTTTGAAAGACCTCTAAAGTGTTAGAATTTGTTAATGTGATCCGATTGGAAGAAAGTGAAGAATTAATTATGGAGGGAGATATGAGGAGTACGGAATGGTTACGAAAAATATCTTCCCATTTTTTTCTTTCATCTTTTCCATATTAATTTTTTTTTGGAGTAATTACAAATAAATTTGATGGGCAAATATGTAAATTCACATGTAGCTTTGGCACCTATTGGGTACCAACAAAAAAAACTATTTAGGTAGTTAAAAAAAGTTCTCATTAGACATTTCAAAATTAAATTTTTATTGATTTCCGTATATAATTAATGTGATTATAAATTGATTTGGAGATAAGATTATATTTTTCTGTCTCAACAAATTGTTTTTTTCTATATTAAATAAATTAATTAGTTAATTTTAAAATCTTAAAGTGTAATATTTGAACTAAATATGTAATATTAATATTAAAAAATAAAAACATTAATGGTTAGATTTGGATTAAATTAGTCCTTAAATTTTGATTTCCCCTACTTTACTTTTTAATAGTTGAGATTTGGATTAAATTAGTTCTAAATTTTGACTTCCCCTATTTACCTTTTCTTTTGTTAAATTAATAAAAATATTTTTGATCTTAGACATTTTATTTTAAAAATACCATTAAAAATTTTTAATTTAAAAAAAATACCTTTAAACTAAAAAAACTAAAAATACTCTGAAAAAATAAAAATACCCTACTACAAAAAATAATTTTTTTAAAGAATTTTTTTCTATTAATACTATATTTTCAAAATAATATTAATATCTTTAAAAAAAAAAAAAATTCAAGTTCTTAGGTTAGTAACAAATTGGTTAACGTATTTTTTTCACTTAAAAAAAATTCATCCATTTTTTTTTTTTTTAAAATTTAAGAGTATTATTTAAAATGAGTAATTTTGAGAGCGTATAATATTTGTATTAATTTTTTTCCCGTTTAGGTGTGGATGTTCAATCTTTCACCCGATTGAATTCCTGTGTCACTCCCGCACCGCGACGAGTCGGTCTTTCATTGCTCTGCTTGGAATTAGAACTCCATTTTGGAGCCCCACTGCGGAATTTTGCGAGCGTAATGAAGGAGCCTGAATTCGTAGGCGAAGAAGAAGAGAAGCCTCAGGGTACTGAAGCTGGCCCGCTTGAGAAGCCATGTTCGTTGGAGAATCTGTGCAGGAAGGAGAAGAGGAAGGCGTTGAAGAAGATCAAACGCAAGCAATTAAGAAAAGAGGAGGCGCTGAAAAAGCTACAGGAAGAGGAGGTGCGGTTGAACGATCCTGAAGAGAAGAGGAGGATTCGGTTGATGGAGCTGGAGGAGGAGGAGAGGTCGGAGAGGGAGAGGAAGCTCTTCGAGGAGCGTGAAAGGGCTTGGTTGGAGGCTATGGAGTTGAAGAAGAAGAAGATGGCTGAGGAGGAAGAAGAAGAGCAGCGAAGGAGAGCGCTGGAAGAAGAATCGACGGCGCGGCAGGTTTTTCTTTCTCTTCTTGTGATTCTCTAGTTTTTGTATTTTTGCCTTTGTTTTTGAACAGTACTCGTAGCCTGTTGATAGATTTGCAGGTAGATTTCAGATTTATAGTGCATGATTATTGGCTCAGTTTCCTCGATACATAGAAAACATCGTTTGAAATTCTTGTAACAGAAATTGCAATCGCCTTCTATCACTATGTCGTAGGTCATAGTTCTCCTCTTGTCTAGCAGAGGAAAATTGTTCACTTCACCAGTTTGTAACCTTCTTTTGTAGGCTGAAAATGAAAACGAGTTAAATGAGGAAGATGGTTGGGAATACATAGAAGGGCCTGCCGAAGTAATCTGGAAAGGAGAAGAGATAATTCTGAAGAAGAAACTAATTAAGATTCCTAAGAAGGGTGTTGAACCTGAGAAAAGCCTTGAGGTATCGATTCTGCAACCAGGATATTATTGTTTTCTAGATCATCGTTGTTTATGTTAAAAAATACTTTTCCTGGGACGTAGCAGTGAAAATTTTTATGATCATAGATATTTATATATATTCTTTTTGTAGGATGCGCATAGGCCTACATCAAACCCTCTTCCTCCGCAATCTGAAGATTTTACAGATTGTAAGAATGCACCAATTTCAACTAGACAAGTGATTGATGATGTTGCAAGTCAAGTGCCAAACTTTGGAACTGAACAGGCATCTCTCTCTCTCTCTTTATCTTTCTCTCTGTACCTATTATCTGTACTTACTTGCTCCTTCCCAAGTAGTTCTATAGCTATTCAATTGTCATCTTGATAAATAAGCTGTACCTATTTTTTTTTTATTACAACAGGATAAATCACATTGTCCATTCCATTTAAAAACTGGAGCTTGTCGATTTGGTCAGCGTTGTAGCAGAATTCACTTCTACCCTGACAAATCGTGTACATTGCTTATCAAGAACATGTATAATGGTCCTGGCCTTGCTTGGGAGCAAGATGAGGGGCTGGAGGTCTGTTAATGATGCTCATACAATTATTGTATCCTCAAAATAACTTTGAAATATTGCTATTGCATCAATCTGAAATTGTTTTGAACGATCTTGTTTAGGAGATGCCTAAAATTTTAGCTCTATAAATGACTGTTTAGGTATGAATTGTTTCCATATATCCATGGAGTTATTTTTGTGATTAGATTAGTAAGCATTAATGATTATATTAACTTGTTCTGGTACAGTTTATGATTAGAGAATTCACGAAACCAAATGTAATGTTTCTACTTTTGTGGTCTTCACATGTTTATTTTGTGTGGAAGGAAGGAAATCATGAAACCTTATCTATCACCCTCTTTCTGGTGTTCTTGCCTTCTCGGGTTACTATTAAGCTCCTTTATCAACTCATTGATTGAAGCTGTTAAAATTTAAAATTGATTTGTCTGTTTATTGTAATTTCACCTTACATCCTAAAATGGTTTTACTTTGGATACAAGACGTGATCTTTGATGAAACAATTTATGAAGCATAGTTCTTGCCAATTTGGCGACTGGAAAAATTTATCTTCATAGTCAACCGCTTGCTTAGGTGCTTAATGCAACCATGATACTGAGATTCATCATGTTGTAATTGTTGGTGGCATTGATATTTAATATCCTTCATTTATTTTTCTTTCAAATTTCTTGACCTACTTTATACCAGAGAACTACTGCAAGAATTGTGTCAAATTGTCATGGAGGGTTACAGTTTTGCTCTTGAGTTCCTTTGGAGTTGATAATACGATAACAAATTTTGTATCCTACTTACATTGTTTTTTTTAGCTATTTATCCGTTTCTTTCTCTGTTGAAGTTGTCATAGTTAATTTTTATTATTTTGTGGACTCTTTTTTCTGCATGCAGCTAAGGACATTTAGTTGTAATAGTCGTAAACTTTTGATCCAGTGTCACTGTCATAATTCTAAGGCTAGTACTAACCCGTTGTTGAGTGGTCATTCTTCAAGAGGCAAGCTAAGTTTGGGTGGGAGCACCTGAACTCCACCCATACTGATTACTACAATCTCTAGTGTGTGTGGGTGGCTTATAATTGTTAACTAAGTTGTGTATATATATATATTGTGATCTAGTGTCACTGTTATAATTCTAAGCTAATACTAACCTGGTGTTGAGGGGTCATTCTTCAAGAGGAAAGCTAAGTTTGGTTGTGCTATAAGAGCCATCTTATGGGATTCTTTGGAAGGAAAGATTAGTTAGAGTTTTGAAAATAAACATAGCAATCGACCCAAAACTTAAAGTAATAAGTTATAGTAAATTTAATTATTTCAATGCTTCACTTGTGGTCGTGCAATATTATAGAAGGCCCAACAAGTGGAAATTAATAATAATTAGAGAGCAAAAGGCATTATAAGAGTTTGAACACCGGATCTTCAGATCTGATACCTTGTCAAATAACCAATCAACTCAAAATCTTAAGTTGATGGGTTGCAACATTTTAACACTCCTCAGTCTACCTACTTTTAGTGTCATGCTGTGATATAAGAAGCCTACTTTTTTTTATTTGTTTCTTTTCTCCCTTCTGATGCATTAGAACAATTATGTGCACTTAGATGGGAAACTTCTTCGGTAACTCTAAATTGTTCATAACACTTTTTTCTCACTTGAACAAAACTAGAGATATATCCATTTTTTTAACAGTCTAGAGGGACTGTTTAAATTCCTATTTCTTCCTTAGATATCAAAACTTTACCTTAATTACATCTAGACTTTACTAAGCTCAGGTAGTGGCACAGCATATTTATGACCTATTTGGAGTGATCATGGATGGCACCTGGATTTGACATAGCATGTTTCAATTGGAGTTGTAGGGGATTCTGAAATGGAAATTGTTGGACTAAGATTTCACCTTTTCCCTTTCACTTATCTATTTGGAATTTCTTATGGCGAGGTGCATTCTAGATTGACTTTTCCTCTACCTTTATTCAGTTTGCAGATGAGGAAGTTGAATGCTGTTATGAAGAATTTTATGAGGATGTGCATACTGAGTTCTTGAAGTATGGGGAAATTGTAAATTTCAAGGTCTCCTCGTTTGGTACCTTGTTGTTTGTACGCTTTATATATGCTTTTGTTTTATTTTATCTTTTGTTTATTTGAGCAGTGAGAACATTCTAATAATGGGTTAGTTTTTTATAATTGACCTCAAAATCGCACTTGTTTACATTGTAGACTATTTATCATCAATCCTAAATATTGTATTTTCGTTCAGGTGTGTAAAAATGGCTCTTTCCACTTGAGGGGAAACCTGTATGTGCACTATAAGTCACTGGATTCAGCTGTGCTTGCTTATAATGCCAACAATGGTCGTTTCTATGCAGGGAAACAGGTACTGATTTCTCCAATTATCCTCACTAAGACTAAGAATCGTTGAATAGATGAAGATATCTGTCCAGCCTCTAAATCCTCCTTAACATACACTGTAGGGTTTACAGCCAGATATTCTGAACTTTTGAATTTTATCCATAATATGAAGTTTCCCGTTAGCGTCAGTTCAGGTCTAAACAAAGAAAGAAAGTTCTCTTGAGAGCACCCAGCTTTATTTAGCTCTTAAAAAGGAATGAGCTTTGGAACCCATGACGACGATACCAAGAATGGAAAGAAAATACTGGAGGTCATGAACTTAAACTGATCCAGATCCCCTATGATGTCATTGATTCAAAGAATTATTCCTTGAATGTGGGTGCTCCATATACTTTATTTGACTGAGAAGATTATTAAGCTTGGTCTGTGTTCTGGTAAATGTATGCAAAATAAAATCTCATGAACAAATAAAGCAAACAATACTTACCAATTCATGTTGATGGTGCCTCATGGCCAAATTTATAAAAAGTTCTCTTACAGATACCATTTGTTTATGGTACTGCGCATAGCTGAGCTAGTAATTTCTCCTCCATCCTTCTACGATGTTTGTTCGGGATTTTTTTTTTTTTTTTTAAAAGAATTCTGTAACTGTTGGTTCTTTGTTTAACTTCTCCCAAGTGTGTGGCTCTCTCTCCTTCCCTCCTTTTTTTTCCTCAGCATGGCTTTGAAGTGGTGTTATGTGTTGTTCATCTGGGGCTTTTCTTTATGACAGGTAATATGTGAATTTGTAAATGTTACCAGATGGAAGATAGCAATATGTGGGGAATTTATGAAGACAAGGTACCAGGTACTGAAGTTCTTCAACTTTTTCATCTTATTTAAAACTAATTATCTTAGTTGAAGTTCTTGTCACCGTGCCGTTATTGATGGTTTCGTTGCTTCTTCTCAGACATGTTCTCATGGAACAGCTTGTAATTTCATTCACTGTTTTCGAAATCCTGGTGGGGACTATGAATGGGCTGATAGTGACAAACCTCCCCCACGGTATTGGGTGAAAAAGATGGCTTCTCTGTTTGGTTATTTAGATGAATCCGAAAATGAAAAACATACTGAGCTTGAACACTGGGACAAGTTTGGAAAATCCAGCAGGTCAATGTCAACAGATGTCAACAGGTATTCACGCAGAGTAACTATGGTCTAAAACCTCTCGTTTTTCACTGTTCCCTTTGTTTTCTTAATTCTCAATTTCTTAAAATCCAATATCCATCATTCAGCGTCCTCTATTTTGATAACGCTTGAATGACTAAGTTTTCTTAGTAGCAACTTTTTCCAGACAGTTTCTTCCTTAGTAGCTTGTTTGGACTTTAAAGGGGATAGCTTTCTGGCCGTTCATTCTCTAAGCCGACTTTTATACGTGATCTAGCGTCTAGATAATCCCAGCCATCTTTCTTTTCTTCACAAGCTCAGACATCTTATATTAACTAGAAGGGCCTGAGTTTGGTAATGAGGATGAGCTTTTTTTTGGCTAGACAGTTTATTCATATCCGTGGGACATAAATTTAATGTACATATGTACTTGTATACCATTTTTGTAACGGCCTAGATCCACCGCTAGCAAATATTGTCCTCTTTGGGCTTTCCCTTTCGGGCTTACCCTCAAGGCTTTAAAACGTGTCTACTAGGGGAAGGTTTCCACACCCTTATAAATGGTGGTTTGTTCTCCTCCCCAACTAATGTGGGACATCACAATCCATCCCCCTTCAGGGTCCAGTGTCATTGTTGGCACTCTTTCCTTCCTCCCATCGATGTGGGACCACCCCCAAATCCATCCCCTTTGGGGCCAGCGTCCTTACTGGCAAACTGCCTCCTGTCTACCCCCTTTCGGGGAACAGCGAGAAGGCTGGCATATCGTCCGGTGTCTGGATCTGATACCATTTGTAACAGCCTAGATCCACCGCTAGCAGATATTGTCCTCTTTGGGCTTTCCCTTTTAAACTTACCCTCAAGACTTTAAAACGCGTCTACTAGGAGAAGGTTTCCACACCCTTATAAATGGTGGTTTGTTCTCCTCCCCAACCAACGTGAGACATCACAATTTATCACCAATAATTTTATTCAATTTACCATTATTGGAGATTCAATCTTTTATGACTTCAATTTCTTATTCTTCATGATAGATATCATTCAAGAAGATCTAAATCTAGAAGTCTGGACCATGGCTCCAGAAGAAGTAAAAACAGTGAAAATGACTATAGAAGGCACTCTCGTAGAGAAAAAGTTCATGAGAAGCAGCAAAGTTTGGATAAGGAAGAATATGAGCAGGCAAACCTAAAATATTACCACCGGAGAAACAACAGATTTAATGATGCAAATTCTGACGAATCAGCAGATACGTTTGACGAGAGAAGCAAAGATAGAGAACGTGGTAGGAGATCACGAGTTCGAAATGCAGATCATGATGACAGCAAGAACAAATCAAATGAAACTGATGAAGGCTGGTCAAGTGGTGATGGGAACAAATATGGGCATCGACACCAAAGAAGGAAATGCAATGGGCACGTTTCCGAGACGTTTAAAACCACAGGTGGTTCTCCAAGCCAGAGCGCAATCAGTGATCACGATACACGTGGAATTTCTTCTGACAGAAACAAGGAAAGGCGTGTTTCATATGGTGGAAAACCCAAGAAACGCTGGGATGAGGTTACTAAAGATTCTGATGACCAGTTGAAACAGAAATCTAAGTTGAAGACGGATTATGAAAGCAAGAAGTTCAGCTTAAGAAAATCCAGTAGTCTCCTATCAGATGGGAGACAGGAGCAGTCTATTTCAGATCGATATGTTGAGAGGTCCGAACCAATGAATCTCGGCAAAGAATACTGTAACAACGAGCACATTGACAAGGAAGGCCGATGGGATCCTGGAAGAAGTTATGATGAATTCGAGAAATGTAGCGAGAGTACAAGCACTATGCGCTCTGAGGCTGGAAGCCCTGTTTGCCAAGGTGAAAGATTTAAATCAGATGTTCTAGATAGAGTAGACTACTATGGTAACAAAGTTAAGAAGCGAAATCATAGGGAACTGAAAAGCAGCGATTCATATGAACAACGAACGTCTCGAAGAAAGTCTTCTCGGCCTGATGATGATCAGAATTTCAGTGATTTAAAATACGATAACACGAACACTGACTAGGATTATCTTCAGAAAAGTCCTAGGAGCCCAGGCAGACATAGTAAGAGAAGGAAACCACTAGAAAACCACCAAGAATCCCAAAAGATAGATGGGAACCTTCCATGTCGTATAATTTATGCTTCCAAAGTCGTGATCATATTGCAAAGGGCGAGGGAAATCGATTTGACCCGCACGGGGCTCAGCTGAAAAGAACGGGGAAAAGGATGACCTGAAGCTGTGGCTTTGCTGCTGCTGTTTAGATGTGATGAGAAACCTAAACCAACCTTTTGTTTGCCCGTTTCTTATTGCCATATATTTGTTGAATACCTATTTTTGCCTTATTCACATACCTTTTTCTGCTCGAGTTTGCAATGTTTTTGGGTTTGGTCTTAAAACATTCACAAGCTTCCTTCTGAGACGAGTTTCATACATCAAATTTCCATTGAAGTTCAAAATTTCACATTTATCTTGAGGGGAAAAAATTTTTTAAAAAAAATTTCTAGACTAACTTTGACTATCAAGCATGTAAGCCATTTGTTTTGACTTATTTTTCGATTGAAAATGACTGAAAGTGAATTATTCTTCTTTTATAAATTGAATTGAATTGATCTATGTATGGTTCATTGTACGATCTTGCACAACTTCAAACAAAAAATGCAATATTTCCTTCGAACTTGAGCTTGAGAGATCAAAGCAATATTAAGTCAAGTTATTGAGACTTATAATACTACAAGAAATTGTTCTTTTAATTGCTTTTTATGTATAATCTCGTGTTTCGTATAGTAAGGTTACACTTGCGCTTTCTTCTTCTTCGGCTACACTGTGCCATCCTCACAAAGTCTACCCAACTTCATCAACGTGCAATCTTCTCTTCTTTGTTTGTTCAATTTGTTTCATCATCTTCTCTGCCATTTATTTTATTCTTCTATGTTCAACACTTCTTAATATATATATGTTAGAGTGCTTCGACGTTTTGCAAGGTCTAAGTTTAAGAAATTTGAGCAAAACTTTTCGTAAAAAATAAACTTGAAAAGACAAAAGCAGTCAGATTTACCAAAACTTAGTCTTATTACATCAAATCCCAAAATTCTAAAAGAAAAAGTGTTAAAATTCAGTGGTTTTGCTAAGTTGAGAGAGAGAAAAGAAAAGCATTGGCAGAGCGTTAGTTTGGGCTAAGAGGAATGGATGGCAAAAGCTATGAACCACCAACAAATTCCCTTCAAATCACATCGTTTTTTTTTTTTTTTTTTTTTTTTTTTTTTTTTTTTTTTTTTTTTTTTTTTTTT